TTGATAAATTAAAAATACTTTTTTCTAATTATGCTATCGAACAATTAATTTAATATTCACAATACTTCTTTTGTTGATAACCAAACAAATATTAACTTTAGAAACAACTCTTTTCACTGTTAATCTTTTTTTTTTTTATAATCGTGGATGTTTGGGCCAACTTGCGCACACCTTGACTAATCCCACGAGACCCTGAAATTTACGGTCGGATACTCACCTCAATGGCCCTGAGGGAACTCGACCTTTATCTTGTTAATCGCCGAGAACATCAAATGCTAAGGCCATATTTAGCTTGCAAAATTAGCACGTTGTGAGAAATTATGTATTTGGCCCTTATTGAAATTGATAATATAATGTGAATTTTCAGGCTACAAAAAATAGGAGCTTTGGAAGTGAATGAAGTAGTGAAGCACCACGAAGCATGGCGGTTAGCCTCTTGTATGTGGCTACACGCGGGAGTGTTCCATGTTATTGCGAATATGGTGTCTCTCCTATTCGTTGGCATTCGGCTTGAGGAGGAGTTTGGTTTCGGTATGTCGTGCTCTCATTTACTTCACCAAAAATCTTACCATTTGAGAATCGGTCACTAGCATTAGAGATATCTATCTGTTCACTAGAACTAAGATCATTTTCTATCATATTTGTGTCTACTTTCACCAATTCCACACCTCGGTAAGACTCTCAGACACTAAATTTATCGCACATTTGGCTAAGCTTAAAAGCACTTTTTTTGAGTAGTATGACATGTTAAATTTCCTTAATCCTGTTGCAGTGCGGATTGGTTTGCTGTATGTTGTAGCTGGAATCGGAGGTAGTTTGCTGTCCTCATTGTTTGTGCGTACAACTATCTCAGTTGGTGCCTCTGGTGCATTATTCGGTTTACTTGGAGCCATGCTTTCTGAACTCCTTGTCAATTGGACAATATATGAAAACAAGTTACAAGCAATAGTGACACTTCTTCTGATCATCGTCATTAATCTTTCGGTTGGAATCCTTCCTCACGTCGACAACTTTGCACATCTTGGAGGATTTGTTACCGGGTTTTTACTTGGGTTCGTCCTTCTAATTCGTCCTCAATACGGGTGGGTGAGCAAGAGAAAAGTTCCTGCTGGTTATATTGCACCCTCTTCCAAATCCAAGTACAAGACATATCAGTACACAATGTTATTTGTTGCACTGATACTTCTGATATCGGGGTAAGTTTCACGTCGGTTGTTATCAATCAAATGACCCTCGTCCCATTGTGCGCGGCTAAAAATTTGACTCAATTCATTGTAAAAATCTTATTGACCTTTTGATATCTCGTATTTTCTAATTTCAGATTTATCATTGGCCTAGTTTTGCTCCTTGATGGGGTCGATGGGAATGAACATTGTTCGTGGTGCCGTTATCTAAGTTGTTTCCCTACGCCGTTCTGGAATTGTGAAGCACAATGCTTGGTATCAATTCTATATTTCACAATTCGACTTATGCATATAGAGAATTTGAGGCCATACTTTTTCTAACTGATGATCCACATGCTGTGTGATTCCGCAGACTAGCCAAGAGGGCAATCGGATGAACATGACTTGCTTGGAGAACCACAAAAGCAAGATTTACATATTGGGCAATGGAAACACCACTGAACAGTTTCAAAAGCTTTGTATTGACCTATGTACTTGATGTATTCACCACTAGCTTTGTGAACACGAGGGAGCCGAAGAGTCTTACCTCCAATATTTAAATTATTTTTCGTCTGATACGAGACTAAATTAACTAAATCTCGCATTACATTATCTAGTCTTAGGAGTCACGAACTTTGTGAATTGATATGAAGGTTAAAAGTTAATTGTTTCTTTTACTTTGAATAAGACTTTCTACAATAGTAGTGTAAACTAGATTTTTTTCTCTAACTGTCAAAATACAATGGCCATCATGGTAATTATTTACACATATGTTTAATCTATAGAAGCATTCTATGATGACTTTGTTGGTACATTAGAAAAAATAAAAATACTCGCTAACTCTAATAAAAGCAACTCCTTCCATGTCTACAAAAATTAAAAGATTTATAGATTTAAGAGGATTGTCCCATATTAGCAAGATGGTCTACACAACCATTTTCTTGTCTTAATGCTTGTTTGACATGAATTTTTGGGGGAATAATTGATTTTGAATTGCGATATGATGGGAAATTTGTGGTTGAAAAAGAAGAAAAAATTATTAATATGATGGAAAATATTATTTTATTGAAGAATGTGTGGTTGAAAATGAGAATTGATTTTGAGAATCAGAAACAAACAACCCCTTAATGATAATCTACACAACCATTTTCTTGTCTTAACGCTTGTATTATCTCAACATTGCATCTTTGTAGCAGAAAAAAGACAATCCTCAAGCAAAGCTTCATGTGGGTTTTCACTTATGTTGATCTTGTTTGAAAAAAAATAACTTTTGCAACATTTATTTCAAAAACAGCATTCACAAGTCATAAGGTTCTACGATAACTTTTTGGGCTTGTTTAACACGACTTTTAAAAAGTCAAAATGAATTAAAAGTTGCTTTTGAATCCATTTAATTAATTTTATGAAAGTGATTCTTCTAATTAGAAGATTTTTAGAGGAAGCTGGTTCGATATGTTTTCCTCTAAAAGTCGTCCCGAAATAGAAAATTCTTTTAGGCTCTATTTGATTGCCACATTTTCCATGGAAAATGTTACATTCGAGAAAAACGAATTTCACTTTGGCCGTTTAATTGTAACGTGGAAATGAAAATTGAATTCTAAGGTACAATCACGTTAAACTGCATTTTCTTTATTTTCATAGAAAACGAATTCCTATAGATTTAGTGAGTTTTTATTTTTCAACTACACGGAGTTAGAATTCATTTCCACATTTACCTCTCAAACGGATCCTTAGATATTAGTTTTCAAATAAAGAATAGGGCTTGTTTGAGCTCCCTTTTATTTTTATTTTTTTAATAATTCATTTTGGAATAATAGATTGATGGAGAATGTGTGGCTTAAAAATAAGGAAAATTTTTAGATTTACGTGTAATATTATTTTACTGAAGATTGTGATTTAAAAAAAAATGTATTTTGAAAATGATGAGATTAAATGTCAAGATAGCTTTCAAAATATAATTTAAGTAAATAAGAAAAAAACCAAAATTGAGATAATAATATAATATCTATTTTATGTTCTCAATCAAAATTGTATATGATGTGGAGACTCATCAGTCCTCATTTTCCTTGGCCACTAAACAAATCCTAGGGTTTCACATTTATTTTTCTAGAGAAGTTTAATTTTTAAATATAAACTAAACTCACTAGCAGATAAACAAACACTCGGATGCAGATAGTATGTCCATATTTTCGTAATCGATTTCTTATTTCTCCAAGTTTTTCTTCAATTGAAGGTTTTTCAGATTTATATCTCTATTGCAGTGATTGAGTCTTTCGCTCTGTTGAATAGACTTCACAACAAGAGGTGAGATTTATGCCCATTTCGTTAATTCTACAAATGAAAAAAAGTTTTAACTTTTTATTGCGAAATTGTTTTATTTTGTTGCCATGGAATAGTGATTTTAATGATTTAAGTAATTGTTTGAATGGAATTAGGGTTCAGGGCTACAAGAATTTGAATTGGGAAATACTGATATAAGTTTCAAGATGAATTTTTACTGACCTATTTCAGTTCCAGCTTCGGAATTCTATTTTAAAGCCCACAATAAATTATAGGGTGTTTCACTTCAGGAAATAGGGGGTTCGTTGTAAATCAATTCTAAATCATATGCTGAGCAAAATTTTTGCTCTGGGAATGTGATATAAAATTTTGATGTAGGTTATATTTTGCTGCTGCTAATTTACAGAAGCATGCCATTTGGGGTTCCATCATAAAAATGATAGAAAATTTTTTTGAATGAAAATTTTTGTGTTTTAATTCTAGGTCCTGGTTATCAACCAAGATTTTGCTTCCGACATTCAGGACCTCGATTTGCCAATTAATCACGAAATGCTACGTAACATAAGAATTTGATAATGCTTCCTGAAAAGAGGGGGGTGTAAACGGAGGAAATATAATTTGATATTTCAGTTCAAGATGTGGACTTCTCCTCCTCGGGACGTTGCTTTCGGAAATTAATATTATTTGAAACTCAAAATCTAAATTTTTCCTAGAAAATTTTATTCAAAATTGGATATTAGGGTTTTAACATTATTCTGTTCTTGATTTACCCTTTAATAGCCATATATGGTGGGTTTATATTTGCTATAAGATGTGAGTGCTCATGTGCATGCCAATAAGTACCTAATGGATCATATACACTAAAGTCCTTCTCATGTGCTTGTGTATAATAACATATATATGGTGGGTTTGTATTCTAAACGTTGTGTATGTTTGCTTGTAAATACATGTGCATATACAATCACATGTATGTGTGTGTTTCAGAAACACTAGAGGTTGATAATGGGGCGCAAAGGAAAGAAAAAAGCTTCAACCTCCAATAGAACTCTCAAAGAGAATGAAGTTGCTCAAGATGCTTTAGTTGAAACAAAGAACTCTGATTCAATGATAGCTAAGATAGAGCAAACAAAGGGTGTTTCTCATACTGAAACTACAGAAACAACATCAATTTATGTGACAAAAAATGAAGAAGATGAAGAAACAAAGCATGAAGAACAAAATGTGATTATCCAGAAGAGTGAAGAAACTCTGGAAGATGATGAAGATATTCAAGAACTGAATGGTCATAATATGATAGAAGAGGAGCAAAAGAGCAAAAAAACTCCTGAAGACAATGAAGATAATCAAGAAGGTCCAATGGAGAAAGACAATGAAGATAATCAGGAAGATTCAATGGAGGAATATGACGAAGATGATACTTTCGAAGAAGCGAATGAAGAAAATGAAAGTTTTGAGGATGAAGATAGTGAAGAAGATGCTACAAATGCTTTCGAGGACGTAGATAGTGAAGAAGATGCTACAGAAGAAGAAGGAAAAGAAGAAGATGATGATGATGATGAAGAAGAAGAACACAATAGCAAAAATGCAAACGAAGAAAAAGAAATTGCTGAAGGAGACAGTGGAAAAGCTAAAAAGTGTAATGAAGAAAATATGGCAGCACTTTTGAAGGAAAAGGCCAAGAAAGCAGGGGAAAGGAGCAGAAAGAAGGTGAAAGAAAATTCCGTTGATAATGATGAAGATGGTGAAGAAGATAGAATGAAAGAAGAAGAAGAAGACAATGGTGCAAAAGTAGATAAAGAGAATACAGATGGAGATGGGCAAAATGCTGAAAAGCGAAGTAATGTAGAGAAATTGGAAACAAGCTCAAAGGAGAAGGTCAAGAAATCATGGCAGAGGCGCAGAAAGAAGAAGGTGGAAGATGTAAGCTTCAAGAAAGCGGCCTCTGGAGCTGAAGATAAGCCAGAATCATCAACCAAGAAGAAATCTAAGAAAAGGGCTGAGTGCATGGGAATGATTTTTATGTGCAGTTCTCAGACAAAGAATGACTGCTACCATTATAGGGTTCTTGGACTGCCTGCTAGCAAGAAAGGTTTGGTGAAAAAGATCTATAAAGGGATGCGACTGTTTTTATATGATATTGATCTGAAATTGATGTACGGAATCTATAAAGCAGCAGGAGCTGGGGGATATAACATTGAGCCCAAGGCCTTCAAGTCGCAGTTCCCATCTCAGGTTAGTTCATATGCTATAATTCAAAGGAATCTACATTTTCTTTCCTGCTCAGTGCCTGAATTTAGTTCATAAATTACTTCTTTTTTTCACCCTTACCCCCCACCAAAGAGACTGGAACCATTGATCTAGTAAGGCTTCTCTCTTACCACTTGATCTAGACCTTGGTGTGGAAATAAATTAATTTTAAATAGCATACATTAGGTCTTTTCTTCAAGGAGTAGGTAAAATATTACGACAATTGAATCAAAATAAAAATAAAAATTTGAAACGCGAACATTTGTTCGTCTTTGTTGCACAATGTGGCTTTATTTTGTTAGACTTTCAATTAATACTTATTTATGAAATTTCTCATCGTTTTTCCCAAGCAGGGGATATAATGCTGAGCTTATAGTTGCAGCATTTTGTTGTTAGACTTCACAGCTTAGTTTATTGCCTTTATTTGGTAGGAGTTAATGAAGGCATTTTCTTTTTATTGTTTTAATTTTTTTTTTAATTGGGTGGTCTGACAAGTATGATTCATTGTCATGGCATTTGCATAATTCTTTTGCCGATGAAGAGTCACCTTCTTGTCATTTTATGTAATCTGAAATAAATGTGCTTAGAAATTAGTGAGGACTTGGAGTTTCAAGACTAATTAAAAGTGAACATGTATATATTACTGATGAGAATGGTTTGTAAAATGATGTCTTTCGCTTAACTATAACATGTTGATCAAACAAAGAACCTGCCAGGTGTGTCGGTGTGAATTTTTTCTTCTGAGCTATTCCTCCTATTTTGAAAAGAAGTTATTTTAATTATGAATTGATACCAAGGTTCCTACTGAAGTCCAGGGGCAGAGCTAGAAGAAAATAATCGTGGGGACAAATTTCATAATTTTTTAATTGTGGGGGCAAAATTTAAAAATTATGAGGACTTTTTTGAAAATCTTTAAAAAACCTTGGGCAAAATAACATATTAGTGGTTTGGCCCTCTGATGCTCGGACCTTTCGAAATAGTTGGAGTATTCGTGTCGGACACGACATGGGTATGGATATGAGATATATATTAAATTTTCTAAATTTCAATCGGACACTTCGTTGTTTTTGTTTCTTCTTCCTTCTTTTTCTTCTTTCTTCTTTTTTTCCTTTTCTTTCCCTTTTCTTCTTTTCCACTTTTGCTCTCTATAAACCTGTGTCGTCGCCGAGAGGGTGGAGAAAGGCGGCGGCACTAGGTTTTACCTTCTTTTTCTTTTTTTTTCTTTTTTTTTTCCCTTCTTTCTTTCTTTGTATTGGTGGTTTAGAATTTTGTTTGTATAAATGAAAATGGACTCCATATAGTGCTACTTAATACTCCACTAAGTTAAATTAAAATCAAGTTCCTCATTTTTTATTTTATATAATATTTAGTATTTCCCATAAGAAAACTAAACTCTAAAATTTTATTTTATTCGTCTTAACCCCTTATTAAATACTCATTTCCTTCGTTGTAAATAATTAATTTTGGTCTATTCAAAATGACATATCGGATTAGTAAAAAAAATTGAAGTTTGAAAGACGTACTCACGTATCCGTGTATAAAATTTAAACCATTTTTAGCTATGTCCCCGTATCCTACATTTTAGAAAATAAAATATTCGATACTTAGATACGTACCTGATACCAGTACTCGAGTCCGAGCATCATAGGTTTGGCCAGGCCAGAAATGATCATCCTGTTTTTGTATAATAGTCTATACTGTTGTACACATTTTTTTCCTTCTATTGGTAGGTCTGGGTCTAGCTGACCTGAAAGGTGGAGGTTTTTAATATATTTGGAAGGGAGTCAAATCAATTGGCATAAGGATATCAAAAAAATTTTTTCTTATACTTTGTTGTGTCTATTGATGTTTTGTGGTTTTGGCAAGTTAATTAACATCCGGTTTTCTTACGTGTACATTCACTCTTGATGGATGGCATAGTGAAATGTGGGGCCTTTTTTTATATTTTAAGAGCATATTTAGAGTAAGATAGTATTGATCCCTTCTGTATTTATTATGCAGTTCATTATTCACATACTTTTATCCTTTTTCTGCTGCTATTACAATGCTTGATGTAACTTCCTTGTAAGTTCATAGTCTCAGAAACAAGCATTGGGCATAAATATGTGTTGGTAATGATAGTTTACCTCATGGGTTTGATAATTTACCTCCACTGAAAATACTATCAACAGTTGAATGAGGACAGTGCATTATATTATCTCGATTTTGATTGAAACCTGTATACCATGTTAGGTCCGATTTTCTGTTTTCGAGGATTGTTTGCCCTTGGCTGAGGAGAAATTCAAGATGGTAATCAAGAACAACTATTTTACAAGGAATAAGTTTGACTGCCAATTAACATCGTCACAGGTACTTGGCATTGCCTTATTACTGATAATAGTGTTGGGGTTTGATGAATACTGTGCAAGTTTAAGGACGCTGTTGCCATCTGATCTCATATAGCATCTTGGCCACTAATGGTTTTCTTCTATAGGTCAAGGAGTTGTGTAAGCTTTTTGTACCTGCCAGGAAAGTCAGCCATGCCAAAAATGTGGGGAGGGGGAGAACAGAAAACCCTACACCAGTGCGCCGACAAAGAAAGAGGAGGTGGAGAGGGGATGATGAGACGCCTAAGCGCCAAGAAACAAATAGGAGGCGGAGAGGGGATGTTGAGAGGCGCACTTCTTTGAGGGAGGAGCGCTGGCACCATGAGCGTCCTCGTAAGCGTCGAAGAGATGCTGTTATATCTCCTGTGGCACCACTGTGGCAGCCTCCACCATTACCTGCACCAGCACCTCAACCACTTATTGTTCCTTCATATGCCTATAGCAGTATACCAGAAGTAAATGTTTACAGGCCAGATCCGTACTTGGATGATCGTGACCCTTATAGAGGTGGGCGAGATCCATATTTTGACCGTCATGACCCATATAGAGAAAGACGAGATCCATATATAGAGCACCGTGATTCTTCCAGAGATGGCCGAGGTTTGGCACCCCAGGATACTTACAGGAGGGAACCAATAATGGAGCATACTGATGTCTACAGGCCAGACCGACTGGTTGAGTACCAAGATTCTTATAGACGTGATGAGCTGTTGGAGTACCGTGATCTTCGGTCATCAAATTTGGGAACTAGGCGGCTGGATGAGATTGGTAGCCGTGATCCCTATGTTTCATATCGAGATCGTACATCAAATTTGGAAACTAGACGACGAGAAGAGATTGTGAGTCGTGATCCCTACGTTTCATACCAAGATCGTCCATCGTATGCTGACCCTTTGTATTCTACTGAGCGTCTTTCTCAAACAGGCTTGGTACCTGAGTATCGTCGTGCTGGTCCGATAACTGATCATCTTTCGAGTAGGGATCCTCTTCCTGAGTACCGTTCTCGGGGAACCTTATCTCGATATTGAAGTTATGTAAGATGAGGACACCATACCATTGCCTGCTGCTTTCGTGGTTCGTTTTGCTCGTCTAACAGTAAATTTTTTATTAGTTCAACTTTGAGGCCGGTTTATTGTATTTTTTTTCAGACTAACATTATCTGGTCAACTTTTACTATACGATATCAACCGGTTAAAATAATTCAAAATATTGATTTGAATAAATTAACACACACACAATCATCATAGCGATTTCTGAAAATAAGTGGGTAAAAGTAATTTTTTTTTTTTTTTATGCTTACAAGCGTTTCAAACGTGAAATAACTTTGCTTTTACAAAGAAAATTAACCTTATTACTCATAAATAAGTGAGATTTAAAGTCATTAAAAAAAGTCTTCGACGAAAAATTAGTAAATTTTAAAAATTAAAGACCTTCGATAAATCGAGATCAATGAGTGATAGTCTAACTCGCTTGATATTTGAGCAGTGTTCTAAAATGTGTAATGCGTTGCGATGCGTCGAGGTCGAGAATTAGGAATATAAGTTTAGACGTGTCAATACGAAGAATAAGGGTCATAATGCGTTTTGTATTTTTAAGGCATTAAATATATTTTTATAAAAAAAAATAGATTTTTTAATATATCATTAAAAAAAAGGGATTAGGCAGGATAAGGCGCGCATTATTCCTGCCTTTTAGATGGAAAACACATTTCCTGAATTCGACGTATTTTTAACCCGCATTGCGCCTAGGCAGCGCATTTTGACGCATTTTAGAACACGGTATTCGAGTCAACAATGAATTCTATTTGATTAAATATATGGTGCAGTGTATTTTAATTTTTTTTTTAAATTTCTATGCATTTTTAGTTTATTAATGTTTATTTAGTTGGTTATATTAGCAGAATACCATTAATATTTAATTGGTTAATGGATGTATGTTGAATCATAAATATACCAATAATCATATTTGTACAATCTTGATTGACAACATCACATTCATTCATTTTAAAAATTATTTTTGAAATCAAGTCTAGATTTTGACAATATCAATGTTGTCAAGCATCATTGTTAACAATCATTGTATAGATATGTTAATTCTAAATATACTCTGTAAATTAATAAATCATTAATTTAGCAATACCTTATTCATTTATAGAGGTTATATTGTATACTAGGTGCAAGCAACGTGCAATGCACGTTTGCCTAGTTTATATTTAATAGTTTTGTTTAAGAATTAATTTGTTATTAATAAAGATGTAATTTTTTTGATTAATTAAATAATTAATAATGTAAT